ATACATTAAATAACAATATAATATTATGTGATATTGTAATATCCCAAATTTTCTAAAATTCTAGCATTTAAGTTGAGGACTTTTGTGTGAGAAAATATTATTTTGGAGCTTATTAGCTTATTAGCTAAAATTTTGAAACTTGAGGGACTTAAAAGGAATAAACATTAAGATAAAGGGTGTCTGATTATTTTCCCTTTTTTTCTCCAGCCCCTTTTCACGTGATTGCTTATCTTCTTCCGCCCGAACCCCCCTTGCATCCCGAAAGCCCCCAAGCTTGCCGACCTCCATGCTTGGAAAAAAAATTGGAAAAAGGCTTGAAATTTCTCCTTTTTTCTTGTTCAATCACCAGATTTAGGACCTAGAAATCCCTTTAAAGCCATAAATATTTCAGATCTGCAGCTTCTCTTCCTCCCCTGTCCGCCGGCTGCTATGTGGGTGTGTGATTTCTGGGCATTTTTCCGGTAAGCCACAGCCATGGGTCTCCTCCTTTTAGCCTTAATTTAACTTGGGTTACTCTAATTTGTGCTTTTGGTTCTCCAATTTTGAGGTAGATCCGTGAGATTCCCCTGAATTTTTCCTTCCATGCCGTCGGCCTCCCCCAACCTCCAGCTCCGGTTTTGCTAGGAAAATTCTGGTATGTTGACAGCTTCAAGCCTGAAATTTTATCAGTTAATTGCTGCCTATGTGTCCGAATTTTCCGTTGGAAAAATGGGGATAAGTTTGACAGTAATTAGACCATGATTTAGCTTAATTCATGTAGAAAATTAGTTTATCTTGGCTGTTGTGATTTTGGAGGAAAAATCCCGTGATATTAGCTATGATTTTGCCAATTTTTTAAAGTTGCAGTGACTGTCCATTGCGTGGTTACTGTTTATAAGTACTGTTCACGCCCTTGTGCCAACAATTAACGGGGATTTAAATGTTTAGTTTGTAATATAAGAATAAAATTGAGATGTTTGGTCATATGGTTGAATTTCGTGTGAAGCTCATTGGTTAGTAAATTTGTGAGGTTGTGTTAATAATTTTAATAAAATCTAAATGTATTTATTTGGAATATTAGGTGCTATTATGGCTTAGAGCACTGGGATTGAGTCCTCGGTTTATGCAAGTGAGGTAAATAAATTATGGTAACGTTCTTTGATTTTAAAAGTATATTTTAACTTATTTTTGAAATGGTGACGGGATTAAACTCATTTTATACAAAAATGAGTATGATTGATTTGGAATAATATTATTATTATTTTTATTGATTTGAGCATGCCTACTTGAAATTTACTTAACTGCCTTTATAAACTGAGAATTTTGTAAATTTTGATTTTTTTTATTAAATCCATGCCTACATGGAAATTTTTCGGTTTATTTATGAAATTTGAGATTGATTGTGAATGATGATTTTCTTGTTAACTTCTGTCTGTTTTGTTTTCGATATGGTCATGTTTTACTGTGCTCGCTAGCGGGAGGTTTATAAACGCTAGCACATGTCGACATGTTTACTGATAGGACCGATTCATTTTGTAATCCTGCCAATGGGATAAACATTGGTTACTACTGTACCCGCCAGTGGGAGGTTTATAACACTAGCCATGACCTATAGAGGAGACGTCTATTTCGTTCTGTACTTGTACCTGTTTTCGTGATTATACTGGTTGGCATGCTATAAGTTTAATTAAGGACTATCCATATTTTTATTTACTGAGTTATCTCATAGTTTTTCCTTATCCATCATTTCAGAAAGCAAAGTCAAGGACAAGGAAAAACGAGGGGAGTGACGAGTTAGAAGGCTAGCCATCTTGTAAATTTGATGTAGATTTTAGATATAAATCATGATCTTGTAAGCTAGATTTTAATTGGAGATTTTATGATATCACGACAAATTTTAAGATTTTATAAATTCAGTTATTGGATTGTTAGATGTGAATTGGATAAGTTTCGAGTTTTGTGCATTTGTTGGATCCTCTCATACGGCATCTGTCGCGCCTCGAATTTAGGTTTTGGGGCGTGACAGATATTATAATTTAGTGTATCATTATTTAATTTTTTTATTTAAAAATTTATTTATAATACTATATATATTTATTTAATATTTATT